TTCACGCTCGCCACGCTCGCAAGCCCAGTTGTCCTGGAGGGAACGTCAGGAGCCGTTCCTAGAGGGAGGGGAGTTTTTGCTGTTTTTGCTTTGTATGTCTCATTTTGGCCACTAGAGGTCCCTATGGTACTCTCCTGTCAATGTTGTGCCTCTTGTAATCAGTGCTATTGTTTTCAGATGTGCCTTGTTCTGGGCTGTGTATTTAAACTGGTCACTTCCTTTGTATCTTTGCTTGGTTATTGTTGTTCCTAAGCCAGTTGCTGCCGTAAGTCTGCTCTAGTTCAAAGAACTATACTTTGATTTTTGGACTGAAGATTTTTCTGTTTTGTGGCTTTCATTAAGGAAAGGATTTTTGTACCCTTTCTGATGTTTTTTGTTAAATAAACTCTTGAGTTAATTTAAGAATGCGTCTGACTATTCGGTTCAACTGCCTCCTGTGGCTCAGTGGTGGAAATTAAGACTCTTGCGCCAGAGACCCTAGTTCGAGCCCCGGCTCTGACAAAAAACAAACCTATCGCAAGACATCTGGTAGGGGGGCACCTGGGGCCACCATGTAGACACGCCCCTGGATTCACGTACGCACAATCTTCCGCTGACAGGGATTTATAAAAGGATTGTTGCGCAGGTTCTGGCGTACGCATGGTTTTATAAATCTGAAAACTTTCTTCCTTGCACACAGGACAGATGGATCCCAGACTCTCCACTGACATCCTTATACATTCCTGACAGAATTCATGCCCACATTTCAGTTTTGTCTTGTTGGTGAAGCTGTCCATACAAATAGTACATGTCTCCTCTTCAGCATGAGCACCTTTACTCTCATGTCTAGAATTGTCTTTTGACTCTTCATTGAAACCAGCATCTGCTTTGCCTTGCCCTCTAAACTTCACTCCCTCATCCTGTACTGCTCCACCCACTGCTCCTGGTCCATAATCAGGCATCTGATTCCAGTTGATTTTTCTTGTGTGAGGAATGTCACCTGAGTAACCAATCAATTTCTTCATTTTGTCATCAAACACATTCCTCTGAAGTGTCTTCTCAATTTCAGCAATGGCAGGACCGAGATGTTCTGGCAGTCCAACAAGCCTCCAGGGACTGAGTCTATCTGCTGCTGCAACAACACGATGCTGCTGCTGAAGTTTCTCTAATAGTGCTGCCACGTCAGTTTTATCTGTAAGGTTTGTGAGTTTACAGCTGACAGTGGCTGAGGCAAGTTTCTGGTAGAGTTGTGTTAAAGCTCTGAGGGCATGACTATCCAGATTAATATGCTGAACTCCTTTAGATCGAGTTTGAACCTTAATTAAATTTTTCTGCATTTTGTCTTCATGCAATGACACTCCATACTTTGTTTCAAGCTGTGATAATTGTTCTTTATAGGAAAGATTCATCAGATCCCAATGAACCTTGTCCATCTCAAGTTGAGTTGGAAGGTCCTTAGTGTCCATTTCCAGTGAAAACCTGCTTTGTGGAGAAACATTGTTATCTACATCCATTTCATTTGATTTGTCTTTGAATTGTTGTTCCACTCTTGTTGTCTCTCTTTTAATCATGTCTGTAATTTTATTCGGTCCTAAGAACCGGCAGTCGCTGGCAGACATGGTCAACATCAACTTTGCCTCCTCTGACTGGATGGTATGAATTGCCTCCTTCACAATATCTGAATTCATGTCATTATGATTAATGGCAGCATCACTAAAATGAACCACACAATCAGTGACAAGATTCCGAAAATCCTCAGAGGCTTTGGAGACCGAATCAGGGCTTGAGTTCTGGGTGGATATGAATGAGACTGACACTTCTGCATGCATAATGACTCCATGTTGTTTCTCAATTTTCTCTATCTCCTTTCTGTAAGCATGAAGCATGTACCAGAACTGATGGAGGGGGACAGTAAATCCAGCTGAGGTCTCTGGGGTCCTTTTAAATGTTTTTGGGATCTCAGCATCGTTTGAAGCTCTGTTCGCTGCAACATCCTCGCTATTGTTTGTGTCTTCTGATACTACTGAAGTCACAGGTTTGGTTCTGTTCACCTAAAAAACAATTGATGGTATTTCATTTAAGAATTTTATGCCCACAGCTAAATGAAGATAACTGAATTAATACCAAATTATTGCTACAGGTCATAGATGAGCTTACTACTACTACTGTACTAGGAGTCTGAACTGAAATAGTTTAACAGTTACTAGTGTGTATTGTAGTAGGTCCATCAGTTTGCTTTAGTTATGCGTATAAGCAATCGAAAGCTCAAAACCCGATTAATAAACTGATGAGATTGAGCCTTAATTCTAGATAAAGTAAACATGATACCTTTGATGATGGAGCTTTGTTCTCCTCCAGCAGGGACATTTGTACAGTCACAGAATCTGCTTCATCCAGATAAATCTGTGCAGTCACTTCCTTATCTCCTTTAACTTTACCATCCTTAATATTTTTAAAGTGAAGAGATGCTGTTCTGTGATATTTTAAAACCTTTAGAGCTACAGGGAAAAAAAAAAGAGTGTATTTGGTACACAACCTTAAAACAATAACATAGAGCCAAATGTAACATAAAGGCAATTGTATTTCAAATACAGAAGTGGAGTGCGTCTAACAGTGTGTCATGGTTTATGAGGAAACAGATGTGTATAATGACATGGGTACTACAACACAACATGGTTTATGAGGACACATCATGTGTCCCTGTAAACCAAAAGGCTTAAAAACTTACTAAACAGTGCTTTTTGAAATTAAAAAATTGCCTGTAGTTTTGTTTGAGGTGTAGGGTTAAGGTAAAGGGGATACAAAATACAGTTTGTACAGTAAAAAAAACATTACACCTATGGAGAATCCCTGTAAACTGTGTGTGTGTGTGTGTGTGTGTGTGTGTGTGTGTGTGTGTGCCTTTCCAACACTGACAATCACAAAGCATTAAAATTAACTGACCTTATGACAAAGTTAATGACAGTCACACAAAACTGCCTAAACTCACAGAATTTATTTGTACAGTCTTTTTAATTAATGGAGAAAACATTCAGTTACAGAAGTATAAAATGAGCAAAGGTCAAAAGTCATAAAGATGGACAACTCTGATTCATTTTTCTTGGATTGCTGGCTGATTTTGTGAACGGAATATATGAAACTCCAATAACTAACCCCTCTGGAAACCTAGTGTTCATATGAGCCATAATAACACATTTATACCATAATTAAAGGAATTTGTCAAAAAAGGTTTGTACTTGTGCAATAGTTCACTAAAAGCTTTATGGACTTGACGGGCAAAATGGCGGTTGGTCACATGGCTTCTCAGCGCAGTGATTTGATTGGCTATTTGGGATGCCAGTCAATTATCTGTTGTAAAGTCAGTTATGAGAGGCACTAAATGTTCTAACATGTTCCAACATTACAGTTTCTGTGCTTCCTGTTTCAGTCAATTTTAAGCAACTTAATAACACAGTATTGGATTTTTAAAGGGGTCATATGATGCGATTACATTTTTCTTTTCTCTTTGAAGTGTTACAAGCTCTTGGTGCATAAAGAAGATCTGTAAAGTTGCAAAGACTAAAGTCTCAAATCCAAAGAGATATTCTTTATAAAAGTTAAGAGTCAACCACGCCTACCTAAAACGGCTCGTTCTAACACGCCCCCACATGTCTACGTCACGATGTGCGAAGATTTGCATAACACCGCCCAAATGTTCACACAAAGAAAGAAGGAGTAACTTTTATTCTCGCTGTAGTATTAAACCATATAAAACGCCGCCATGTCATGGAGACACTGTGTGGTTTGCTGCGAAAGAAAAAGTACTTTGTTTGGCCTTCCAAAAGAGAACGATATCCGCTTCATCATGCCTGGAGCTGATCCGTGCTGGCCGCTGAGGAAATACATCAACTTCGCGCTGTCGATCGCCGGATCGGCTTTCACCGTGGACGAAACGAAGTCCAGCCTGGGGTCGTCACATGTGGTTGCCGCAACCCCGCCGGCCGCCCCTTCGTTGAATTCGCCAGCCGCG